ATGTGTTTCTCAATTTTCCCCTTTTATCACTGTCCGGCTCACATTAGGCTATGTCATCTCTTGAGTTCCGGTATTTAATATAAAATACTGAATGAAAACATATTTTGCAAACAGGCTGTACAGCTGGATACGAGGGGAGGGAACATTTTGCCCATCGGCCTGTCCTGTCTCTGGGCACTTGACAGACATCCCTAGTTTCCTAGCAGTGACTGGTGAGGTCTGGCTCTTGCATTCTCGGTGGTCCCCCTCCTCTGGTTTGGGGGCCAACAAGCCCTGGGAATGGGGGTAGTGCAATACAGTGCAGGGGTTCAGAGTGTGGGCTCTGAGTCAGAATCGGGTTAAAATCTCAGCTGTGCCATCCCGCCAGCTGTATGGCCCTGGGTGAGGTGCTTCTGAGAGCCTCAGTCTCTTCACCCGTCAAATGGGGATTGCTGTGAATGAGAGAATACACATACAAGGGCTCAGGTCTAGGCACAGAGGCTTAACAAACGCCGCGTGGTTATTTGCCCTTCATCACCTGAGCATCTCCCACTTGGGGAAGTCCTGCAGGGTGGGCGTGAGCAGGGCCCGTGTAGGTTCACGTGGGGGTCAGGCCCTGACAGACAGAAGGCCCCTCTTCCTGTCAGACCTCCCTGACACCCACACTTCATTCCTCATCTCTCTCGTCCTTCTTCTCCAACCTGCCTTCCTCTTTCCACCCGTCCTTCTTTTTGGTGGAGTCCAGCCTCCCTCTTAGTGGGCCCCGGTGTCCCCTGTGTCACGCCATCCTTCTCACCCACTGTCAGCATGGCCAATGCTCTTGGGACCATGAGGGGTGGGGAAAGCCACTTTTTCTGACCAATCGCCCCCCTACATTCATCTCAGTCCCATCCCCCACACCCTCCTTCAAGCCCCCCCTGTTCCAGAAAACTCTCTTGCTATCTCTTCAGCTCCCATTGGCTAGTTCCATCTGCTTTGCCTGCTCACATCTGCCAGCTCTGTTGGAGGCTTCTGCTCATAACGGTGTGACTGTCCATCTGGTTACAGGCGCTGCCTTCCAGAGCCTTATCTGGGGGAGCATGTCTTGCCCTCATCAGCCTCCAAAGCCCAAGCCTGTCCAGGAGGCTCCCTGGGCTCTGGCCTGGCCTGTGCACAGCTCCTGTGGGCTGGGCTATGGGTTCCAACCTTCTGAGACTTGGCCCTTCCTTTCCTTTCCTTTCCTCTCCTTCTTGGGGCCAATCTAAAAACTAAGAGAATCGAGATTTTTACCTTAAAAATGTAGAAATATAGAAAATTTCAGAGCCTTCTATTAAGGTAAGTTCCCTTCTCAGCAGAGCTTTAAATGATGGTGGAAATTTCCTCCAGGTGTTGCCATCATCATGAGCATTTGCATTAACTGATTAGCTTTGGTAAGCGTCTATCAAATATTTGCAGATTCCAATCACTTGATAAAAGGGTCACTAAAAATGACATGAATAAAAAAAAAGGCCAAGACCTTCTTCATATTTCTTCAGGATGTGTTCTCCTTATTGTGGTTTGAAGGCATTTACCTCTGAGAAATTCCTACGAGCCACTCGGCCTGCTTAGAGACTTCAATGCAGATGCCTCCCAAAGAGTTAATTCAGAAAGGTAGATCTCAGGAGGACTGGCCAGCAATTCTTAGGCCACCTAAGGACTGTACCCCTTCTCCCCTCTAACCTGGTGATAATTCTATCTAGGGAAATTGACTCCCTTCTTCTACACCAGGACTCCTCAACCTGGAGACCATGCCATTTTGGTCCAGATAATTCTTCGGTGGAGGGGAGAGGTGTCCTGGGTATGCAGGTTGTTCTGCAGCACCTCCGGCCTCTTAACAGTGGTGCTCCTGCTCCTGTTGTGATGATCTCAAGCCTCTCTAGACATCGTCAAGTATCCCTTACAGGAGCAAACTCTCCCCCAGTTGAGAACCACTGTTCTACACACGTGTGCATATGCACACACACTTCTTCCTGACACACTGGTTAGTCCAACTTCAGTGGGGTGTAAACACCCTGCAGGAAGCACAGGGCTCCGGGGCCATTACCTTTGCCACTTATACCCAAAATAGCCAAGCAAGTACTTCCTAGTGGAGGCAAGATCTGGGAACTCCCTGCCTGCCAATGAGGCTGCTGGCTCCCAGGGAATGGACCCTCTCCAGTCATATGGTTTCAGTTGAGGATGTTGGTTCATGGTGTCAGGGAGGCAGTAGCCCATTGCCGAGATGTGTGATGGAGTGACGTGCTCTGGATGGGATATACAGGCGTGGTCCCCGCCACACTTGATCTTATCTGGTGAAGTCTCCCCTGCTAGTAGAAGTCACTGACACAGGATGGGCTGTTTGAAAACTAACCTCCTCACAAATGGCTTCACCAGGGTTAGTACACAGAATTTCACTGACCAAATTCCACAGAATGTCCTGACCCGTAACATCAGGGGCCACCATCACGGCCATTATCAAGGGCTAGCAGTGTTCAGCATCTCCCCAGAGTTGTCAACTGCAAATCTCATCTGTCACCTTTGAGTCACCTTTTAACAAGTATTTATTGAGACCATCCTGTAGGTCCTTTCTACATAAGTGCTGTCCACAGCCCAGCATGGTGGGAATGACTTGGGAGAGGGTTAGTGTTCGGATTCTTAGGTCCTGCCTCAGAACTTCTGAATCAGAGTCTGCACCTTAGCAAACTCCCCAGGTGATATCTACAGACTAATAAGTTAAGAAACACTAAGGCAAATAACCCAGAAAAGGGACTAGATCTCCCCCTAGAAGCTTCTGTGCTGGTTGGGAAAACCTAGTATATAGTCAAAAGGGGCAAAATAGAAGTCTACATCAATCAAGTTTGGGTAGGAAACTTGAATCAAGAAGAATGAGACCAAGACCTGTTTCATCTCTTACCTCCCTTGGGCCTCAATGTCCTCAAATGTAAAGTGGGCATAACACTTGCCCTGTCTACCTTACAGGATTGTTCTAAAATTTAAAAAGATGGGCAAGCACTACACTGCCATTAGGCACTGTTTCAACTGTACACATTCTGAATGCTTGAGAAATTCAGATGAGAGAATAACAGGAAGTCTGGATGAGAAGACCCAGCAGAGGAAACTGGGGAGGCTGGAAGTATAGAACCAGCCACTGGTGTAAATCAAGAAGGAAAAACACACATTTTCACCATCTCCCAATACAGCCTCTAACCTAGGCCATGGGAGACTCCCACGGACCAGTGCCCACCCACTGGCTCCAGAGAGTCTGCCGAAGGCCCACACTGCGGGCTGCAGAAACACACTCAGCGTTCATCAGGTGTTTTACAAATAACACGGAGCAAGCAGAGCTGGTCTCTGTGCAAGGCTGGCCAGGAACCCAACTGCTGTAAATTTTCTCCCTAGTTTGGGGGTCTGGGGGTGGACTTTTTGTCATTTTGCAGAGCTGCCCTGTGAGGATGCCTAGACACTGCAGGCAGGGAGGAGGGAGGAAAAAGAAGTTAGCAGGTGAATCAGTGGCTAGTAGTTTCCCTAGATAATTCTTACATAAGCCTTTAGTATATACTAGATGTTTTCACAGTTTTTCAGCGAATCCTCATGGTGACCCTACCAATCAGGGGCTCCATCCCCACTTCAAGAATGAGAAAACTGGGACTTGAGATTGGAACCAAGATTGCTCTCCTTTCTAAAGCCCCTGACCTTTGCTGCAAGCTACACTTCTAGGGTAGTCAGAATCGCCTGTTTTCCTTGAGCCGTGGAAGCAATGAGCAATGTGACTGTTTTTTTTTTTTTTTTTTAATTATTGTTTTAGCTGTTGATAGACTTTATTTTATTTATTTATACATGGTGCTGAGAATCAAACCCAGTGCCCCACACATGCCAGGCAAGTATGCTATTGCTCAGCCTCAACCCCTGAGGCTGTGCTTTTGTTGTGAAATCTCTGACTTGCTGACGTTTGCCATGCTTGTCCTGAGCGTCTCCAGGGAAATGCTATCTTCTGGCGGGAAAAGATAAATATGGCTGATATACATGAGTCACCATACTCACTATAATTAACAGTGATGCAAGAGCCAGATGTACAATAAGAGGGGCCTCAAAACGAGGCTTTCAGGTGGCCCAAACATTGAACTGCACTTGAATGCTAAAAAGAGTGTCTGTGGCTGGGCTCCTGTCTGCTCAAGACACATTTAAAAAAAAAAGAAAAGAAAGAAGCGTGGAATGCACATAAGCTCCAAGATAATAGAATTGAGAGGGGCCCACCAAACGAATCTTCTTGTTTACAACTGGAAAACCACACACCAGAACCATAAAGAGTTTATAGATAATATAGATCTTTGCTTTCACACTCAGCTGCCCAGGAAAATCTAAGCAGTTTTACCTGCTGAGCTGATTTATAGCTACTACAGTTGTAAATTCAGTTGTACTCTGTGTTCAGCTTATGCCCTCCTGATCCCGGGAATGTCTCTATGAACTTTTCAAAAAAAGATCACTTATTAGTACCTCTCTGTTCTCTTCTGCTGATCTGCAACAAAAAAGGTTACAATGAACTGGGTGCAGTGGCACATGCCTGTAATCTCAGCTTCTCAGGGGGCTGAGGCAGGAGGATCCCAAGTTTGAGGCCAGCGTGGGCAACTTAGTAGAACTCTGTCTCAAAATAAAATGATATAGGGGCTGGTGATATAGCTCAGTGGTAGAGCAGTTCTCTAGCATGTGTGAGGCCCTGGGTTCCATCACCCCCCCTTAAAAAACAATGATGATAATCTTGGTAAAATAAACCCTAAACCATAATTCCCATCACATCATCCACAGACACTCAACCACAGCACAAACACAAATGTCACCATGCAAAGTGAAGGTGGCACTCTGCTTCTTCTAGCACAGAAAATTCCCTCTGTAAGTCTGACAGAAAAAACATCTGTTGTCAGAACCTGGATAGGCTTACTAGTAGCCATCGAAGCCAGTGGCATCGTACCTGTTTAAAAAAGGCTGAATTGGTCTCAAGATTCGAACACAACACAGTTGATAAAATCTTGTCTTTCTTTTTGAACAGACTTTAATTGAGAGCAAAGTGAAAAATGCAGGTTACAGTTTTAGTGTTATCATCAATATGCTGCAAGATCAACACCCAGTGATGCACCTAACATTTATACATTTCCTAATTTTAGTCGTCAAAGAGCAGATCAATACCAGATATATATATTTACACAATAATTTCAAGCAACAGTAAATAATAAACTCCCTCCCTTAAAAAACAAAATACACATACACACTCACACACATACCCAAAAACCTTTAAACAATGGATTTCCTCCACACTAGCAAGTCTCATTTTTTTTTCACATATACTTGTAGACCCAAAGTTAAGTTACTTAAGAACAGACTGATCCGGAGATCCTGGACCAGCCCCCTATTTTCTTTTAAACTCACTTTTAATTTTTACAACTTGAAGCCACATGGCCAGTGTGATCTGTACACTCTAAGGACACCCCAATGATGAACATGAATTCCATTTTCTTTGTGTGAAGACATGGGTACATCTCTGAAGATGCATCTGACTCAGAAAAAGTCAAAACCACAAAAACTTCCCATCTTCACACACGGTTGCTTAAGAACATTGTGCTAACATTAACACTGATTAACTGAGCAGTTAGATTCTTTTAGATGTCTATACAGAGATACTGGTTAGTTCTGATTCTTTTTTTTTTTTCAGTTGCTTGAAACACGTGTGTTTTAAAAGTCGCCTGGTGGAACTACATCCTGTTTTACAGGTTAGCAGCCCGCCTGACCTCCAGGATGCTGGATGAGCCTCACCCCCAATGTCTCTGATTTATTTCTTGCTGCTGCTGTTAGTAAATGGAACCCATGACAAAGTTTATGTTAGCAGACACAAACGCATGCCCTGGCCTATAAATATTCCATGATGGGAAATGGTACCATCCCTCCCTTCCTAGTGAAAATGAGCGTAGAGGAGAAGGGGAGGGTTGGAGGGACGTGATCAACAACGGCTCTTCTTACAATGGAAAATCCAGATCAAATGGCGATGGGCTTTTAACTAACCAGACATCATTAGCTGCTTCTCCAGGCCTGTGAGTTAGGCGGAGGAGAGACCAATTCCTCCCGCAAACCTGGTAAGATCCAGTGGTACAGGTATCTTGTCTTGGAAGTTGGATGAAGATGATCAACGGCCATATCCTTAGGTGAGTGAAGAATTTCAAAATTGGATTTGAAAGTAGTTCACACACTGTCCTGCCTGGGACACAGAACTGTGCCCGTGTTGGACCCCTCAGAGCGCCAGCTGGAGTTTGGTCATGTTTCTCTGGTGCATGTTGTGATGGCGGACTAATTCATCAGACCGGGCAAACTTTTTCTGACAACTGGGCCACCGACAGCTGAAGGGCTTCTCACCTGTTGATACAATTGCCGGTCAGAGACACTTGCCTCGGCAAGACTGGCACAAGTTCAATTATCAAAGGCCCGAGTTCATTCATCACAGCCACCTGCCCCTGACTCCCACAGGTCTTTCCCTAAGCTTCCAATGGGCTTGCTTAACAGCAGCACCTCTGGGGGCTAAATAATGTCCGAAATAATGCAAAAATTATGAAATGTTCTTTCATCCAGACTAGGGGACTAGGGAAACAGGAAAGAAGGGATGAATCTAGTTAATGGAAATATCTGGGAAATACATATTTAATTAAGGGGGAAAGCATTTGTTCCAGTCTACTGTTGGAATGATGTATGAACTCTGTCAATGGTTCCCTGTGGCTGAGCAGGGAACTGAGCTCAACCCAGCTGCAAGGGCCTCGGGATCATCACACCCTGGATGTTGTTGACTGCTATACAGAGGTGGAGCTGGGTCTGCAGCTTTAATGTCTCTTTATGGATATCTTAAAATAAATCACTGACACCAGTTGCATGCTATTTGCTTCTTTTACCATGAAGGGTCAGGGTCACTCAGAGCATCATCTCTGTTATATAGAAGATTCTAACTGAGGCATGGTTCTGTCAAAAGATAAGCCGACTCCATCGACAGAGCCTCAGGACATTCCTTCCAAGCATCAATCTCATTAGGGACGAATACTAATTTTTATTAAATGCTTGACAGATGCTAAGACTTGTCCTGTGCTGGACATTGTGTGTGCGTGTGTGTGCACGCACACGTGCACACCTTATATATTCCTTACAACAGTCCCATGAGGGAAACATTATCCCCATCCTATAGATGAGGTTGGACATCTAGCAAGAACAAACGCAGGCAGGCCTAAAATCCAGCCTTGTCTAATTCCAAAGCCCAGACTCTTTCCTATATTGTACCTCCCGGGCCTTCCTAAGGATAATGCCATAGGAGCCAACCCTGTACCTCCTGGAAGATCTTCTCAGGATATTGCTGGTCCCACTTCGCTTTCTCTGACTACTGATCCGAGAAATGTCCCAGGAGATGTGGTGTCCCATGGTCAGAATGGGGGATGAGCAAATATAATATCAGTCTGCTGGTGACACAGGTCACTTGGAACACACATGGGGGGTGGGTGTACAAGGGACAACTCTTTCCCACCACTTTGTGAGCTTAGGTCTAAGTCAGAGAAGCCACATCAAAAGACGGGGAGCAAGGCACCACCCAACATGCCCACTGTTACACCCGTGTCTCGACTGTCTTAAGCACAGCTTGTAGACTACCCGGGTAGGGGACTGTTTTCCTTCACCTCCGCTCACTGTCCCTCTGCTCTTCCTGATCTGCTCTTGCTCCCAACTCTGCCTCCTACTGGACAAATTCTGACCCCTTCTCCCACCAGTCTCCATCAATCCAAACTCAATGGAGACAACTTTGCTGGCTTTGGCTGTCTTCTTATTTCTGTCCTCCTTGGAGGCTGCATGAACTCATGCTCTTTCATCAAGAAGACAGTGGGTTAAGGGGGGCTGGGAGCATCTGGCTGAATTTGCTGCTTACTAGCCTCGTGACTTTAGACAGGTCCTTTACTCACTAGAGCCTCTGCCTCCTTGTCAATAAACTAGGGATAAATCACTCCTACACTACTCTTTTTATGTGGATATTAGGAAGATAAAATGAGATCACCTAAGCAAAAGCCCTCCTTCCGAAGGTAAAAAATATGCAATACAGTGGTGCTAATTTCATTGTGAATCACACCAGCCTTGTGGACAAGCAAAAATCCTTCAACAGCCAGTGGAGATGTAAAAGCCCTATTCCCTCTGTATGCTAGGACCGAGAACTGAAGTCCATCTAGCAGAAACTAAGACTGCTTTGGGGGCATTAGAACCAGTTCTCCAAGCAGGATCCTGAAATATGAACTCTCAGGAGAATAAGTGTTTGTCTTGCTAAAAAAAAAAAAAAAAAAAAAAAAATTTCCTGTAAGGTTGATTATTGTGTCAAATTAAGTGAAAAAAAAAACGTGATTGGACAAATTGGGAACAGTAGGGACCTAGTTTATCTCTTCATTTTCATTCTGGACACTCTGGATGTTCCTGCCACATCTCTCTCCTGTTCTGTATTTCCCCTTCTCTCCTTCTTTGATAAACATTATTATTTATCATATTAAGATAGCTACACATTGTTCTTTCTCTCAATTGAGTCTCTAAATCTAATCTCTCTTATCACAAACAAGCTCAATCAACAGTAGTTTTTTTAAAAAAAATAATGAAAAATAAATGTGAAGAAAAGTTTACGCACTTGTTTTACCTGTATGAGTCCTGGTGTGGGTCTTCAGGTGGTCGGACCGGGAGAACTTTCGCTGACAAGTTTTACACTGGAATGGTTTCACACCTAAACGGACAGAGAAAGTCTAGCCTCGGCCCTAACGATGTGGGGCACAGCGAGGCCCACAAGGCTGGCTTGGTGGCAGCTGGAGGAGCCCGGTATTTCCAGCCACACTTGCAATGTCTGTCAAGCCCTCACATTTCCCCAATCCCTCAGGTCCAGCAGTAGGATCCACCTGGTTCTGCACTGTAACCCTCAAGGACCTGCTTCTGTCCTGGAAACAACCGTTCCTTAACCACAAGGTCTAGCTTCTCATCAGAGAGAAGGTCTCAGCTGGGTCATAACTGAAAAGGTGAATCCTGCTGCACCCCTATTCTGCTCTCCACCACCCTTGGTCTTGACTGGTACTCTCTACCAGCAGCCCATGGCTGTGGGATCTCACTGTGCTGTGGTCTGCAGAAGGCGTGGGATGTTTCCTTTTCTTTCCTTTCTTTTTCTTCAAGAAAAGGAAAGTCTCCAGATTTGGGGGAGGGGTGGATTCTTGGAAAAAAACGAAACAGATGGCTGACCCTCTCATCCATATTCAACACGGAAGAGCATCACAAAATCAGCCCTAACCCAAGGGAACACGACTGCTGGCAATGAGAAGGGAACCTACAAACCTGTGTGTCTCCTTTGGTGCCTTTTGAGTTGATCTGAACGAGAAAACCTTCGCTCACAGTCCTTGAAGTCACACTGGTATGGTTTCTCACCTTGGGGAAGACACATATTCTATTTGAAAACAACATTGGAAGTGCGATCTCATCAGAGGCAACCTCACCTACTTGGACTGAGGGGATCCCAAAATGCCTCAGGCACTTCAGGGAGCTCTTCTGGGCAGCGATGCCAATTTCCACAGGAGATCAAAGCCCCAGCTGTGCACACTCGCAGACACTGGGCTGGGTGAATGAGGGCCGTCCCTCACCAGCTCTGCTGCTTACAATTCTGGGTGAAGCACAGTTCTTCCTTGGGAAATTGGACCAATAATCTGACACCTTCTAAGGACTTGATCGTCCACATAAAGGGCTCAGGCCGGTGCCTCGCATAAAAGCAGTGCTCAAAAAATGACATCAGGGAATACTTAAATAAAAACCAAAGGTGTTTTAACTCCTAGGTTGAGTGTGGAGAAGAATTCTGGGATGGGTGTGCCTTGAGGCTAGCCCCAGAAATAAGTGTTTTAAGTTTTACAGCCTGAAGATTTGGTGTTCTTTGCTACTGACTTCACATTTTTGAGTCAAGCATCAACCAATCCACGGAGCCAAAGCACTTAGAAAATTTGTATCATTCTGTTCTAAGAGAAAAGTCAGTCGTGGGGTTGCACAATCCCCTGCCCCACCCCGTCCTCCACAGAGAAAGTGCAGCCAAACCCCAGGAGCTGAGTGCACTCAGTAACTGTGGCCTTCCCCCTCCTCAGACTTCTGAGTCACTGGCATTCTGAGATGGACAATAAGCCACCCCAGGGTCTGGTAAGTCTTTTCCATTGGTGGGCAGCCCCCAGTGCCTTTTTCTGCTCTTGACCTCTGCCCTCTTCCTGATATCTGTACCCCGACTCCAGCCAACTAGACACTCTTCATTCCTATGTTCACATTTTTTTTACCCATTCAAGAGTCAACCCTGTGTCCCTCACAAATGCCATTCACTTCCTTGTGATGCCTGCTTGGAAACTTCATGGTCAGATACAAACCCCTTCCCTCCCTCATAACAGAATTTATCCCAGTGCATCTAATGAGGTGAGCCGTTTCCGTCTGCCTTCTCCACAGGCTACAATATCTGGAGAGCTTTCCTTCATTTATATTTGTACCCAGCCCGGTGACTTCTGTGGCAGCTCTACAACCTGCAGGAGACGGTGCCCCTTCTCATCTGATTTCCTTGCCCTGCAATCGGCCTTCTGCTCACCCTTCAAGTGCTCTGCCTGACCTCAGCAGTCTTCAACGGCTAACCCAAGACCTTCCTATTCCTCAAGAAAACTACTCCAGTGCCCCTAGCTCAAATCCCTTCCCTCTCAACTTCAGAGCTGTTCCAGGATCTGAGTTAGAATGTGATCCCATGTTTTCTCAGTTCCTTTTCTTTAGTGTATATCCTCGCTCCAAAGTGCACCACACCCTCCTTGAGAAGGAGGTTATGATTTGGGGTTAAAAGGTCGGAGTTTTGAAGTCCTGCTTCCACTATGTCCTACCCTCTTGACAATGGTTTTGTGTGTGAGGATTAAATGAAATAATGTGTGTAGGCAGACCAGCACATAAAAATTCTCTATATACTAGTCTGTATTGTTATAAATATATAAACAAACACTGCACTCTTTGAAGACAGGGGCTGCAGGATTGTTAAACACTGACCTGACTACCTTGTCTTCTGCAAGGAAGAGCTTTGTAGAGGGCCCAAGGGGCCTGGGGCTCTTGGCTGTCTCGTTCACTGTCTTCATCCACAGCCCTCTAACCTTCCTTTGCTGTCAGTGCCTCTTTCCAGTAAGTTTCTACAAACCATATCACCTTCAATACAGTTGCTTGCTGGCAGAATCTGACTTTATCATTTTTCTTATTACCTTGGTGGATACTTTTCAAATGATCCCATTGAGGGGAATATGTAAAAAGCATAATATGCCACAGGTGCTCTCAACAAAGCCTGTGGTCCACTGAGTGCAAGCTCAAGTTTATGGCAGAATCACATCCTCCAGATGCAATGAGTTAGCAAAGCCCAGCGGTCTAAAGGGATCTGAAGGCAGCTCACTTTCAGTTACCCCACAGCGAAATCAGCAGGAATAACAAAATAATGAGAGTAGTCACAGCATGAAGCTGTCCTTCACTTGGAAAGACCAGCACCAGCTTCTCTTCGGAAAAGCCTGGGCTTCACATTCTCCCTGTAGGGAAGACCCAGACACATGCCCATTCTGTGCCCACAAGGCTGAGTGAACATGTGTGAAATGCCTGTTCATGTTCAAGGTGGCCAACAACCAGACAAGGCCAACAGACTCCTTGACCGGGGATGGAAGGGTGTGTCCAGTTTCCGGTTTTTCAGAACATACAATCAAAAAATCACTTCTCCATTTCTTAAGGACTAGTGACAAAAATTTAACTACAGGCCATTTTCCCTTTCCTTGCTGGTTGGTTATTACTAACCTAAACGATTCAGTTCTTCTCTGGACAATTCCTTCAAAGATTTATGATGACCTTGTCCATCACTCGAGTCATCAGATTATCCTATGCCCAGGCTTGCTCCTCTCCCCTTAGAGATGGTAAGAATATTCTATCACTAGCATTCGTTCAGACCCCTAGACATAGGGTCCTATGCTAGGTACGTTAAATCCACAATGCCTTTAAATATTAGTCTACGCTTAACAACTCCATAAGGTGGGCATTATCATCTCCATTTTCCACATGAAGCAAATGATGTTCAGCGAGTAACTTGCTCAAGGGCTCCCACTTGGTGAAGCCAGCATTCAAGTGTGGGTCTCTTTAATTCCATGATATTCTCTTTCTACCACTCTATTCTGTTCTTCCTGAAGACAGTTTACTGACTTCTTATAAAAGGATTCACAATCAGGATGAAAATGGCCTTGGCCTGACCTTTCTAAGCAATGCCTACTTTCCATTCCAGAAGTCACCTACATGTGAGCCCAGAACAGGAGCTCTTGAACTACCTGTGTCCAGGGCTGGACCATGGACACACTTACCAGTGTGCTTCCGGCTATGCATCTGTAAATGGGACAGCTTAAAATATCTCTTATTGCAGCCCGGGTAAGCACACATGAAGGGACGTTTCTCACTGGTCTCAGATGCTGACCGGACAAGAGTCGGGGCTACTCCAGGCACACGCCTCACATCCTGTAGGCACAGTGTGAGAGGAACAGAGGTTTTAGGCCACATATGAACATTCATGTCAGTCCCAAGGAAAAGTGAGCACTGAAATATACCCAAGGAAAGGATGGCAGGTATGTGAGATCTGAAACCATTCCCCTCCACACCCCAAATGCCCATGGCAGACATCACTAATGGATGATAGATCCGACATTCTGCAGAGTCGTACTCTAACGTTATCACTACTGATCAACCAGAACTGGGACTTGAAATGAAGTCTATTCGGGTTCCCTAACACAGAGCCTCTGGAGAAGAAATGCTGGTGCCTAGAAGAGCTCCCAATCCATCCTGTCTCTGAGCTCCTCCACATGAGGCTGTGAGGTCCGAAAGTCCAGTCCCAGATCTCATCTATTCCCTCCCACTCAGACACCATGACCTTGAGCCCAATCTGCAATGGATGTTGAAGTTTCTTATCAGAGAATAATGTGAGCTAGTGAATAAGCACAAAAGTGACCAGAATGTCCACATGCAAATAAATGACCAGAAAGAAAGAGCCCCTGGATTTGAGGGTTCAATCTGTGAAGGGGAACTGAACTCAAGAGAAGCCCATGGCACGGCCAATACGACCTTTAATACTGTCACCAGAAATGACTGGACCTGTCTGCTGTCTCTGCTCTTTACATGTCCTTCCAAGGCATCTGCTCATCCCCTTTATCTGTTGGAAGAGGCTCCCCTTTCCTGCTGTCAGGCTCAGAGTCATAAACGGGAGCAGGGCAGGTGCCCGAGGAGCCACTGATTCCCCCTGTTCAGCGTCAGATGTGCAAGTCTAGGCCAAAGGGTGAGAGTGGCTGACACGGAGCATACCCACCATCACGCTAAGACCTGGAACTGCTTCAGAGCTTAATCAACACCCCGCCCTGTGTGTTTCCCACTCTCCCCAAGCTTAAGTTCTCGTTCCTGTTTCACACCCCCTTGCACTGAGAGGGCACTATCTTTTTTGAAGTTAAAAATGTACAATGACTTAGGAGAGCCGTGTTGATAGGCCATAGCATCTCACCGTAAATGGTGGCATGAAACTAAATGGTGAGCCAGCGGTGTGGTGTACTCAAGGAAAAAATGAGTAGATAGTGAAAAAACAAGACACCTGTCCAGGGTGGAGTTTGCTACAGGCCATAACAGTGAGTCTGACAAATGGAGTTCTGACGAGGAGGAAGGCAAAGGAAGCACTTTTCATTTCCTCTCATTAATCCCAGATGCAGTGTACATGGCAACAGGACATAAAGATGAGTGTGAATGTCAGTCAGGGTCCTGGTGGGGAAAGGATTGATGGTTTTTGTCCAAAGAGACTGGATGACTCTTCCTAAACTGTCACTGGTTCTCTGTATTTCTGTGACCTTTGCATTTATTTCTCACCATGGGAAGGCCTGGGATGAGGGAGCACGCTGTTCTACTTCCACGACACTTCTGGAAAATAATCAGAACATCTCGGAGCTACTTGCCCCACATATCACACAGGGGCCTGGCCCACACACAACTTATCCCTAGGGTGCTGACTATTCTGGTGGAAGGATGACAGCTGTTTCTCTTGTTGTGGCCACTGAGTCACACTTAGAAAACACCAATACAATCACTTGGTTACTGTGTGCTAATGACAGCCCCAAAGAGGCTCTGTGAAAGTGGTCTTCCACCAAACACTGAATTCTCCAAAGCTTTTACCTTTCCACTTTACTTTCACTACTCTCCTTGGAGACTTCTTCCTCTAAACTGTTCACAGTCCTGTCCCCCCAGCAAGCTGTATTATGTATCAGTTAAAAACAGGTGTTCTTGCTGAGCGTGGTGGTGGTACACACCTGTAATCCCAACTACTTAGGAGGCTGAGCATGGATGACCCCAAGTTTGAGGGCAGCCTGAGCAACTTAGTGAGAATATGCCTCAAAATAAAAGTATAAAAGGGTTGGGGATGTAGCTCAGAATAGAGCTTGCCTAGCATGCACAAGGCCTTAGGTTCAATCCCCAGGACCACAAAATTAAAGAGGGTTCTGGAGTCGAACAAGCCTGAGTTATAGGTCTCAGCTCCACCGCTTGCTAGCTATGTGGTTTTGAACAAGTCACTCGTCTTACCTGGGCTTTGCTTCCCCATCCAGTAAAACGGAAATAATAACAGTACCTACCTCACAGATGTATGCTGAGGACTAAACGAGGGAAGGAAGACTATGTTTAGACATGGAGGAAGCTTAAATGCACAGGGAGAATACAAAGAAGTCAGCCTGAAAGTGCGACATAGAGTACAATTCCAACTGTATGACATTCTGAGAGATGATCAGTGGGTGCTGGGAAGGAAGAATGGAGGAGGGGAGTGATGGGCGGGTGGAGGATAGAGCATTTTTAAGGTGATACACCACATAAGAATACCATGATCTGATGCTATCCAAATAGATTCGTGGCATTGTGTATTTATTAAAACCCACAGAACTATACAACGTGAAAAGTGAACCCTAATGTAAACTATAGATTTAGTTAGCCTGAACCCGTCAATATTGGCACATCAATTATAACAAATATATCACACCAATACAAGATATTAATGATAGGGGAAACTGAGAATACTGGGAAGGGAGATATGGGAACTTTGTGTATTTTCTGGACAATGTTCATGTAAAACTAAAACTTCTCTAAAAGACAAAGTCCATTTTTTTAAGGTCCATGTATAAATCTTAGCACATAGAAAATGTCCAAGTAGCTGGGTGCAGTGATGCATGCCTGTAGTCCCAACAGCTCAGGAGGCTGTGGCGGGGGATCACAAGTTCCAGGGCCAGCCTCAGCAACTTAGCGAGGCCCTAAGCAACTTAGTGAAACCCTGTCTCTAAATTAAATATAAAGGGGCTGGGGATGTGGCTCAGTGGTTAAGTGCCCCTGGGTTCAATACCTGGTACCAAAAAAGAAAATGTCCGAGCATAGGTGGTACTGTTATGATTGCTATCATCAACACCCAGCAAGACAGTCCGTCTTTGGGCACTTTCCAATGCAGATCAAATCTCGTAAGAGTCCAGGTTGTTGATTCAAGCCCAGAATAGAGCTTGCTTAGCAAATACAAGAGCTGCACAGTTCACTCTGGAGAAGGAAGGAAAGAGCAAGACTCTGCAGGAAGCATCTTGGTCTAAGTCAGGCAGGAGACAGCATCTCTGGAGGAGGAGGAGGTGGGGGTCCCTGATGACTAAGTCTTTCCAGGGCCAGATGGTCAATCGGCAAGGAACTGAAGGACAGTGGAGTAGGAAAAGAGGCCGTGCAGTGAAGGCAGCGTCCAGGGGACATCCCTGAGTACTCACCTGAATGCCTCTGAAGACACCATGGGTGTGTATTCTGTACTGGGCACCACAGAGGATGGGTGTCGTGTGGTTCTCGCTCTCATACCCTGTGCCATGGCTGCAAATACAGAAAAGGGAGGCCAACGCTCAGGTAGGTTCACAGCCACCTTTTGGAAAGGCTCATCTCCAGCCAAGAGGGAGTGATCTTTTTTTAAGCTCATGGGACAAACACAATTGGTTTTTGCCTCCCTCCATGGGGCGCCTCTGGAAGCAGAGCCTCTGTGAAAGCTGAGGCCACTTCATCTTCATGTCACCACCACTCAGTCCTCCCTCACCCTCAGATTCTTGCAAGCACACCATCTGGGTCTGTGCCTTGCTCAGACCAGTCAGGAAAAGCCACAGTGGCAGGACTTCATCCCCAGCAAGTTGTTTACCATCTCAATGGCGGCTGACAGCCGCGGATATCTCAGGAATGAGCAGAATGCTTCAAGCTTCACATGAAGTGTACTGGATTTTTGTCGACACCTCATGACTCAGTTTTTACCAGATAGCACCAAAACAGTGACGACACTTTCAAGAAGAGATATCACATCCCCAGGAGTGGGATTACACATCTGTGGCTCTATTCCACTTAACCTACAGATTTGTCTTCCAGATCAGGTTAACTCTTTGTGGCCAACTTGTGCTACAGCTGGGCACTGGACAATCTTCCAGTATCAGACTGACTAGTCCTCTACTTGGAGCTCAAGGTAACTTGGGACTACTAGTGAGACCCGAGGAATGCGGAGCTTTGAAAACAACAACTTGGAAGAAGTGACTGCTCTGTTCTAAAAATACTTTTTACTTCAGGTACAGTGCTGAAATCTGTTCTGCACTAATTTTATTTCCAAACAAAGCAGAGAAAGGATTCTTCTCCACACAGGCAGGACGTTAGAATTACATCAGGAAGCACCATGGAGATGATGATGAAATCTCTTTTATGAAACATCTCTGTAAAATGGTGCAGCTGCTTTGGAAAATGTCTGGCAATCCCTCAAAAAATTAAGACACACAGTTACCATGTGACCCAGAAATCCTGGGTATATTCCCAAAAGAAAGGAAAACTGATGTCCACACATTAAAAAAAAAAACAACTTGTGTACATTGTTTAGAAGCTACACCATTTGTAAGATCAAAACACAGAATCAACTCCAATGTCAATCAACTGATGAATGATAAACAAAATATAGTATATTCACACAATGGAATACTATTTGACCATAAAAAGGAATGGAGTACTGATACATACTATAATATGGATGAACTTTGAAAACACTATGCTAAATGGGATGAGCTAGTAACAAAACAAAAAAATGTTTTATATTTTTTTATGAAATGTCCAGAACAGGCAAATCTATACTTGGTGAGGACATGAAAGAGTGACTGCTGAAAATGTCCTAAAATTGTGGGAGTGGCCAAACTAATGGTTTTGGATAAGAAGTATCTCCCAAAGACTTATGTGTTGATGGCTTAGTTCCCGATGCAGCAATATTCAGAAGTGGATCTGGGGAAGCAATTGGATGAGGGTTCTGACCTCATCAGTGGACTAATCTATAGAGGCATTAATATTTGACAGCATTATTAGAAAGAAACAGAAACTACAGGCAGGGGGGCCTGGTTGGAGGAAGTAAGTCACAGGGCCATGTCCTGGAAGGGTATATCTTGTCCCTAGCCTCTCTTTCCCCACTACGTGGCTATCATGAAGGGAGTAGCTTTGCTCTTCTGCCATGGTGTTCCTTGGCTTTGGAGCCAGTCAACCATAGAATCAAACCTCTGAAACTAGGAGCCAAAATAAATCTTTCCTCCTCTAAGTTGTTTTTCCCAGGTATTTTGTCCCAGTGATGAAAAGCAATCACACCATACATATCAACAAGTATATTAAAACCCACTGTATCGTGTATTCTAAAAGGGTAAAGGATGAGATATGCAAACTCAATAAAGCTGCTTTATAAACATTGTGTATTCACATTTTTCAGCTTTCAGGTAAGATTAACTGGTTGTTTGAGGCTGAGAATCTCCATCCTCTGCCTTTGTTACTCCAGATGTTCCAGGGGTTTCAGGGCAGCAGGCAGGTGCCTTTGTCCATCTCATGGAATAGGGGGCAGACCACAGGCTGACTCAAGTCTCACTCAACCAGGGGAGAGAATTCCTGGAAGGAAAGAGTGTCTGACAGGATAACTGAGGTGTCCACATAGCCTGGGGCCACAGCAGCCGAGGGGGTTTCACATTTACTTCTGGTTCCAAGCATTTTAGAAAGAACTGCCTGTCTGCTTTGCATAGTTTGGGCAGAGAGGCGGCAGTTCTGCGTCCCCAGTCGACTACGTCTTTTCTCTTGTGTCCTGCTTCGAGTGATTTTTAGCACATCCTGGAGGTGAGGAATGTCTCAAAGAGCTAAAGCAGGGTGAAAGATGCCAAGCCCAGAGAGCATCTGTCGGAGGCCGCCCTGCACAGGAGCTCTGCACACATATTTAGGTCTTGAGTAAGGTGGTACTGAACTGGCACTGCATCTGCTGCAATGCAGGTGGACTCACCTCTGCCAGGAGAGGTGCAGCCATGAAACTGGGCGTCACCCGATGAGTTCCACCCACCTGTTTGTACCTTCCATTGAATGGCTCCCTTCAATAAACAGGGCTTCAGAACGTGATCCCCCCTCTCTTGCCTGCCTCCTGTATTTTTCTCTTGCTCCCCTTGTGGGAGCTTGTGTCTGAGGTGCAGAAGCCATCTTGAACCGCCCTAGAAAAAGGTATTTTCTGTGTCTCTGTGTGATATTTCATGCCAGCTCAAATGCATCTGAGTGACCCTGGTTCAGCAGCCCGAGTTGGATGGGGGCTACAGTTGCATCTGTTTTTCTGATTCTTAGAATGTGCATGCCAGGAAAGCAAGGCCGTGTCTGCCTTCCATACCATTACAGTCCACAGACGGTGAGAGTGAGTGACATGGCCCATGACAGCAGAAGGAGGACAGGCCAGAATGGTGCTGCCAAAACACTGTGCCTCAAAGGCTGAAAGGAGAAGCTGTTTTACATGGTTCCATCTTCTGCATGAAGCCAAAATGCAACTTAAACATTTCCTCAGGCTAAGGGACTTTTGGGGACACACCATTAGTAGAAATCTGAATTATGTGCAAGTTCTGCCATCAAAGGAGAAGTATTAGTAATAAGTCTTGATAGTTGAATTCTGGGGGGGGTATCTGGATTTTTTTGGGGGGGCGGGGGGGAAGGCTCAGACTTTCCTCAACAAACTAGTCCCATGACTCAAAGTGTTCTGTCACTCAAAGGAAACAACACTGATCCTCACAGCCAGATAGATGCAAGTCAACAAAGAAAAGAAGCAATAAGACTATACTTGAGACTGAGCCAATTATGCCACAATCTAGTAGAGTCTTCTATGAGATCCATGAATAAAAACAGTAAAACAGTTGGCCCCTGCCTATGGGTTCTTATATCTCCATAAGACAAACACCAATGCAATCCCACACTGTGGAAACCCTGTAAGCCAACGTGCCTTCCAGTGTGGTCTTCTCAGAAGACCAAGCTTAACTTGTGAGCATTCAATTTGTAGAAGTCACTCCAAGTCAATGAAGGAAAACAAGCTGGTAGTCTTGGGAGCCATAGACTAGAGAGGCAGAAGGGGCCTAGAAAAGGCCCTTTTCCTCCAACCACAGTCGAAGCAGGAATGGCTTCCAGCTCACTGTCAACAGTTGGACAACATGACTGGTAAATTTTCAAGGCATGCTGTTCTATTTGGGGAAAGTTCAATTGTTAGGAAAGGCCTTTCCAAACCAAGCTGAGATCTGTGTCCTCACTCCTGCCTGATGGGGAACTGTACAAGTATTACTATGTTACAGCCATCTCTATGTATCTCCCATACATGATGGTAAAACTTGGCATGGACAACAGAATCACCTCATTCATCCCTGCATCCTTTAAACTTAGTGACTGAAGGATGGGCATAGTCCACAAACAGGCCCAAGATGGACTGACTCTAACATCTCCTCCATATTACAGCCCTTCAAGTATTTAAAGATATAGCTCTCCAGGCTATAGATCTCTTTTCTCTCAACTACGAAAAGGTGAACTGTATTCTGATTCTTTTACCGCCTTGATTGTCCTCTTCCTCTTCCCCTTCATTTTGATAAATCTTTCTCAAAGTGGTCACTTAGGATGGATTGCCAATGCTACAGAAGTGTTTCTATAAAGGAGTGGGAAGGAAAGATCATCCACAAACATAAAAGTTTTTAGAATCTGGACAGTAACATGAATGCATAGGAATAGAGAGTACATGTCTGACCTGAAGGGATTCCATTCAAAGTCGATCCACTAGTCAAACACAGTACCATGGATTAGGCCAACAGGCTGTCAATGCCCAATTCTGGGTCAAAAGGCTTGGGCCTCTGGGCTCAGTGTACTGTGATTATCACATGTAAGAGGAAATAATTCCTCTATACACAGAACCCTGAGCAGTTGTGGGATGGAAAGAATCAGAACCAACCCAGAAACATACAGTTGTTATCATTCATGGAACAGGCTCTACAATATGAACTAACAGAGAGTCCCAAATCTCCATTAGGAACATAAAGGGAAAGGAACATAAAGGAAAATGTCGCACTATGCATAGCAAGTTTTGAGTTAAGTCTGGACAACTTTCTTAGGATAAGAAATTGGTGCTTTATAAAAAGTTTCTTTGTTTTGTTACCTAGGAAACTTCCCTTAGGAAGATATCTGATTCAGCTGAATGATGAAGAAAAAGGATTGGATGACTCCTTGGCCAAGATAATCAGGGAACCCTGGGATTTATACTGAGATATCATAGGACTGCTATGGCTCCAGGTGGGCAAAGATTCAGTGGGCCTGGTACAGATACTGAAGATGCACAATGTGCTTGTGCCTTGCCATAGAGGCCACCCTGCTAGAGACCACTCTTCAGCTTGACAGAGATTTCAGACATTGCCTCTGGTTTTATTGTTCAACTAGGCACAAAGCATTCATTCAGAGCCCATGATATCCTATCTTGATCAGAAAATCATCAAAAATAACTATCAAATGTCTGTTCACAATAAATATCTACTACATTAGTGACC